GGGTTAGCCGGTGACGCTTAATAAGTTATAAATGACCGGTCCAGTCTCCTTTGTCTTTGTAAGTAATTCTCTTCACTTCTTAAGCTTGCGTCCTTGCCAAGTTTTAGCTAAATATTCCTTTCGTACACTTCCGTTAGCTGCTAACCATGACAAGCAGCCAGTGCCTTTGTAACAGGCATGGAACTTGGGCTTATGAAAGGACACATCTAATCTGAAGTCAGTCTTAGATGAAAGAGATAACCTATAAAATCGGACAAGGGTTACTTATATAGCTCACTCATATTACTCGGACGGGCGTACGAGTAATATGAGTGGCCCTGCAAATAACTCTCTTGTTCTAATTCTACTACCAGCTCTAACAGAGACATAAACCATGCCTCTAGTCTTAACGCTCACCATACCCTAAACCAGAGGTCGGGAACCTTTTTGACTAAGAAGGCCAAGAAAGCAAATATTTGGAAATATATTTTAATGAGAGGCATATAGCATATTTTAAGATTGAATTCAATTAAATGTGCGTATAATAAGCCTCTAAATTTATTCATTGGAGGGACCAAAATCACAAAATCTGGAGTTTTTAATTCCAATTTTATCTGAGAGAGCCAGATGCAAGCATCAAGAGTCACACCTGGCTCGCGTGACATATGTACCCAACCCCTGTCCTAAACCCTGACTCTGCAATTAGCACTTACCATAGATCTTTAACTTAACCGTACTGTACCTTAAACCTAACCCTACACTTAAAACTACCTCCAAATTTTACCTTAACTATAAACCTAACCCCATTTACCCTGGAAGTTCACGCGAAGACATCTCTATTGCAGGCGCTTCCAAGTCTCCTGTCCCATTAGGAAGGCCATAAATTGCCTAAAATTGAAATCGACGTGGACGAAATAGCAACTTGTGTATTTGGAATCGTTAACACATGCCAATTCCTTTTTTTGCCCGTGTCATTCCATCGGCAACAGTAGCTTATGCAGGCCCACTAATTAATCCCCAATCCCTGCATGTTTTCTTACGAAAACGGTGGTTATAGGGTTTTATGGGTGAAGAATTAGGACGCGCAGTGGAATATACTTTAATAAATGCCAAATGCATTTTTATTTATCTGTATTTAAAATTGTTGTTGATTCATATCTTTAGATTTACCTAATCTGTATTATCGTTTAACTCATTGTGGAAAAACCCGCTTATTAAATTGCAGGTTTCTTGAATTCTCTGAAAAATTGAAATGGTGGTA